TACATACGTAATATTATATTTTAATGGAAAAAAGTTGTTATAGCAAAATATAATTCTATATGTACATGAGGTTCCATATGTGTTTTCAAATATACATAGTATATTTATTTATAAAATTTATCTGAAAGTACATAATTATCATAAAAATAATCATATAAAATAGTAAATTGTAGATTATATAGTTTAATATTTTTAAATTTTAGTAAATGAAATTATTACCGCCTCAAATACTTTAGTTTGTAAATTTTGTTAGTATAAGATTGCAAGAAAAAATTTTTAGAATTTATGTTCCCTTTGACATAATCCGTTATTTTGAAAACTATGAGGTAATTTGTGTCATTTTATAGTGTAAAAGTTTAATAGAAAAATATATATTTATATACGTGCATGTATTATGTATATATATTAACTTTTATTAGAATATCCAAGAGTGAAATATGATGTCCAAATTAATGTTACTACCATAAATACACGTATCAATTTTCATTTTGTTTCAAGTTGAATAACATCCAATTTTGTAATATCCAATTTGCTAAATATGAAAATCGTCCAAAGTACGCTCACACAAAACAGAAACTGTAACATCTGTCATTTAATTAACAGACTATTAAAAATTATATATAGAGCCCACATGTATATATTTATTTATATTACGTTTCGGGTAAATTATTTAATAGTGGACTAGATAATAGTAATCTACCTTTTGAAGGGGACGATGTGGACGATGTTATGGTATTTGTTGATGAATTGGTGGTCGTTAGTAAGATACTAGAAGCCGATGATGTACGGGCGGCGGATGCACCGCTGGTGATTGCAAGAGGGTTCTTTCCACTTTGCAAAAGATTCGATAACGTGCCACTTGTCGCCGTAAGCTTACTATTTCCTGCTATTTAATTAAAAAAAAAATAAAATAAAATAAGATGATATTTTTAGATTACTCTTTTCTATTTATAATTTCACTGTAAATTAATTATAAATTTATGTTACCTGCAGAGGCTGTATTCACTCTAACTTGATTTCCCGTGGTAAAAACGTTTACTAATTTCGCGTCTCCACTTTTGTCAGGTGTACTGACTTGTCTGTAACTATTCGAGATCATATTCGAATAAGACTTATTAGAAGATACTATCGTTTTCATCTTCGAAACATTCTGCAGGGGATTTGAAATAATCTTCGGCACTTTAACAGCAGCGGCTGAGGATTTAGACGCGTTAGATGTTTTAGAGGAAACGGTCGTGATTTGACTCACTGCAGTGGGTGCTAAACGTATCGGCCCTACTGGCGCCAGACTCGCTAGAGTGCCGATATTAAGCGTTATGCCATTTTCCGAATTTACATTTGTCTGCAATAATGTATATATGTAAATAATTATTATTATTAACGGTAATATATATATATATATATCTTATTTAATTGCTTATTTTAGCTATTGCTAAAATTTATTTTAGCGTTTATTGCTTTCTATTGTAGAAAGCAATAAACGCTAACGTTTTGCTGACTTTTAATACATGGTACATAAGAAAGACATCCTTTACAAAAGACAATATATCATTGCAACAAAGGATAAAATACATATATATATAAATATTTCAATTATTACAGTATACTATGTAATACATCGTATGTACCACATATTGCGTGATAATTACCTGTGCAGGAAGCTTGGAACTCTTCAGTTCTGAAAATTGATTTCTCTGATTGTTTGTAGGCCGTTTCCGTTTCACGGTGGAAGTATGATTTGTATGCTGTCCACTTATTTGCACCAAATTGGCCTGAGTACTGAATGTACCAGTTTTGGAAATCGAGCTCGACGCCATGTTCGTCGCAATTGATAGTGCGGAAGACACTGGCGTGTTTGGCCGAGATTTCTTCACGGTCGGTGAGTTGGGTTCGCTCTCCACGGAACTGCTCGTCGAGTTTCTTCGTTTGTGAGAATCCTTTTTGTTCTTATTATCATAATTTGTCGCTATTGCTGGTCGCAGCGGTAATGGATGTGGTTGCAAAAGGATGCTACCGATGAAATCTCCAATCTCGTCTAACACGCATCGGTCCACCATGCTCTGTGTGATGCCTTCGAGTATCTTTTTAGACGTGGATATTCTGAGATAATCATCGGCCGTACCCACGACTACCAGACTCGTCTCGACCAGCATCTTTTCACGGAGTTCTTCCAAATCGTCCGGTCTAACGAGAGTGGCGTTTTGTCCAATAATAAACATGACAGGACAGCGAATGTCCATTAACACATCGTCAGGCGTACCTCGTTTTCCCTCGACCGTTGTGAAAGGAAATCCAATGCAGATAACAGCAGTTATGTGTTCCATCTGGGCCACCTATATCGGAAAACAAATAAAAATCAATAGTAAATAAAAACGATTAAGAAATTTCAATACAATTAAGCGGCGAAAGCTATATTCGATTAAAGCAGGTATTGATGTGTAATATTTTTTTTTTGCGTTTATTAGTTTTATTTCCAACACCTGGAACGACCGTTCGAACGAATATAACCTTTTTCGCTTGTGCTGAATAAAAATCAATAACAATAAGAAAAAAATTAATGCAACATATGTAAAATGTTACCTGACAAGCAAGCGCTGCACCAGCATTGAAACCTACGAGTATGATTGGCCTACCAGGGCAGTCACTTCTGACATCATGTATCTTAGCTCTTGTAGCTTGAACCAATTGATCCATGCATACCATCATAGTCATTCTATTTACTGCTAAACCTATATGGGTATGGACAGTAGCAATCATGCCTAACGATCCCAACTGTGTAATCCATTTGTGTTGACGAGAGGAAACAGCCGATGCTATGCCAGAAGGTACTATTATTAAGATCGGATTTCCAGGCAATTTCTTCTGCAATTAATCATGTTAATTATTGCTTTACATTTTTTTATCAAAATAATATTGATGATTAAGTTATCATTTACAAATTATTGTCATATTTACAAGTCTATTTCCGTTCAAATTCTGTGCGATCGGATCCCAAGATCGTTTTAAGAGTGATCCAAGCGTTTCCCATGTTATGGAACCTCCTTTAGAGTTAATATTTGGTTGCACAGCAATCATTTTATCAATTAGTTGAGGAATCTTTAACCTCAAGGCCTGTAAAATATCGAGATAAATGGCTAAATATTCCTTAGGAAGATGCTCGAATAGCAAATTATGCAGCCATTGGGCCAGTCTCCAGTCCCATCCAGTTGATCCAGCTAACGTTTCTCGAAATCTTCTTGCAGCAATATCCACTGATGTCCTTCGAAAGATCGGTTCTGTTGCGCTATTAGCCTTGGCTAATCTTGCAAGTCTCTCCGAACTTAATATCCGTGTTATTTTGGTAAATATCCGGTTCTGGGTAGGAGACCATAGAGTTTTCTCTATTTTATCCTCCCAATCCTCTTCTTCCTCCTCCTTGGGTCGCGCAAAATTCGCTAAACGTTCAAATTCATCCATCATATGTCGAACTCGACTTAAGTCAAAAGGCAATGGCAATGGTTCACTGTCAATATTTTCCACGTCGATTTCTTCATCTTTTCTGTGCTTATCACTAAAATATAAAAAGTATAGTAGATCAATTGTTATATTCATCTTGTATTCTCTTATATTTAAGTAAAAATCAAATTGAATGTCAGATGTCATAAAATCTGTTCTTTTTAGCTGAATTTCTTGCACTATTCATCTTTCCTCCTTTTCTTTCTACATTAGAAAAAAAAAGATAAATTGTACAAGTTTAATTAAAAAGAACAAGCTTATTATTTTACCTTGCAATATTTTTTGAAAAAAACAGCTTTTTTATAGGCTTTACATAAGCATTCTCAGGTTTCCAATTCCAAGGTCGAGCATAGCAATGATCTTTGAATATCACATCACTGTCCATCTCATAAGTTCCAGCTAGTTGATGTAAATATGCTGTTAATTTGTTTGAAACATCATCAAATGTGTCAGTAGTTGGACTTGGTAATCCAGAACTGTTCACAGAAGTAGATGGTGCCATAGGCATAGATGTTAACATTGTACTTATTTTTTGAAAATAAATCAATAATTGGAATAATAGAAGATATATTGGTAGAAAATAATAATATTTGCGTATTCAATATCTCTAAATTCCTTTAAAATATTCTATTATATGTAATAGAATTATATATCATATATAAAAATTTTCCTCTCTTTCTTCTTCTTTTTCGTTTTTGATAGAACAGTTCCTGAAATAGATATCAATTATACTTTCTATGTTAATGAAGTGCCAAAGACTTACTATTATCACGCAATACAAATAACTGTGCTAATTTTAAAATATTATTATACTTATACTATAGGTATTTATTACTATAATTTAATACTTTTCTACGATTTATATAATTATATTTTTTTACATGTAAGAAATTCAAGAACTAACCTGTTCCTTTTTTTACGTCGAACACTTAATTATTCATTGAATTAGTACCATTATCTCTGTTTTACATTAAACGTTTAATTGTTCATTAAATCAGTACTATTTTCATTCATCGCATACTACATTCATTAGAATTTGTACACGATATTATGGCTATTTGTTTCACTTCCACGTTTAGAGAACGAGAAAGAGAGAATATTCTCGAAGATGCTAAATTGTGATTAACGTGTTTATCACTGCTCACGCACGATTACGCGTACACATACATGATCACACGTAAATTCGATGACGAAATTAATTACGGTAATATTCTCACCATTGATTGTGGAAATGAGCACGCAATGTATGACCACGAACTTTACGCGAGGAATTGAAATACTTCCATTTCCGTAAATCGAACAATACTGCGTGTGCGATGTGAATATATATACAGTGTTCCGTTTAAATCATATAAGGCCTGTTCTTTTTCGCTAAACTTTTACACTAGTTCATCTTTCTTTCTTTTCTCTCCAGAGGGAAAGAAGAGGAAGAAAGATGAACTGGTATAAAAGTTCAGCGAAAAAGAACAGGCCTATAATAAAAGAAAAATATATAACATATAAATACTAATTTTAAAGATAAAAAATAATTTTATAAAGATAATTTCATAAAAAGAAATTATGAAATTTATTTTTAAAATTTTTGTAAAAGAATATATGTCGCTAATAAATTGTGATAAATTCAGAATATTACAATAATTTTTTTTATTATGCGTCTAAACAGAACACTCTGTATATGTCGTTACATAACCTATTTTTATTTACACTCCTGTACTTTCTGCACTTGTCAATAAATAGATATATAAATATATTTAAGAGAAAGAATAACAAAATTCAAATAAAAAGTGTAAGTAAAATATCTATAGCTGCAATTTTAGAAAAACAAAATTTGATAATGTAAAAAATAAATAAAATTTACAAGTGAGATTCTACAATCGAGATATCGATTATGTTCGACTTTCCGTATCGACGTTTGATGTACCGGGTGTGTGCCATATTGAAGAACTGACTGTACTTCGATCGGTGTCGAAGCGGGCTGACAACCTTTATTGCACAATGAATTGTTTAAGTTTAAGTTTAATGTTGACGATTTTTATACTTTCTTTACACAAGAAAAGTTGGTGCGACCTATTCTTGATTTAAATGCGTGACTGAGATGACTAACATACGCGGACTTCGATTCTCGTTAGGGTTCTGGTTTGACGTTTTGCTTCGTGTCTTTCTGGCAGTGCTATTCGTGTAAGTTGACATTTTATGGGCGTGCAGTTAAACAATCAATAATAATGTTGTAGTTAATAATGTTATTAAACTTGATATTCAATTACTAA